TTTCCCCGCCTCCGTTAGATTTACTCAGTAATACTATGGAATGTTTATATTTTAGATTCAGTACGTTATCTCCCCCTCCGTTAGAGTTACTCAGTAATACTATGGAATGTTTATATTTTAGATTCAGTACGTTATCTCCCCCTCCGTTAGAGTTACTCAGTAATACTATGGAATGTTTATATTATAGATTCAGTATGTTATCCCCCCTCCGTTAGAGTTAAACAGTAATACTATGGAATGTTTATATTATAGATTCAGTACGTTATCTCCCCCTCCGTTAGAGTTAATCAGTAATACTATGGAATGTTTATATTATAGATTCAGTATGTTATCCCCCCTTCCGTTAGAGTTACTCAGTAATACTATGGAATGTTTATATTATAGATTCAGTACGTTATCTCCCCCTCCGTTAGAGTTACTCAGTAATACTATGGAATGTTTATATTTTAGATTCAGTACGTTATCTCCCCCTCCGTTAGAGTTACTCAGTAATACTATGGAATGTTTATATTTTAGATTCAGTACGTTATCTCCCCCTCTGTTAGAGTTACTCAGTAATACTATGGAATGTTTATATTATAGATTCAGTATGTTATCCCCGCCTCCGTTAGAGTTAAACAGTAATACTATGGAATGTTTATATTATAGATTCAGTACGTTATCTCCCCCTCCGTTAGAGTTACTCAGTAATACTATGGAATGTTTATATTATAGATTCAGTACGTTATCCCCGCCTCCGTTAAGAGTTACTCAGTAATACTATGGAATGTTTATATTATAGATTCAGTATGTTATCTCCCCCTCCGTTAGAGTTACTCAGTAATACTATGGAATGTTTATATTTTAGATTCAGTATGTTATCTCCCCTCCGTTAGAGTTAGTCAGTAATACTATGGAATGTTTATATTATAGATTCAGTATGTTATCCCCCCTCCGTTAGAGTTACTCAGTAATACTATGGAATGTTTATATTATAGATTCAGTATGTTATCCCCGCCTCCGTTAGAGTTACTCAGTAATACTATGGAATGTTTATATTATAGATTCAGTACGTTATCCCCGCCTCCGTTAGAGTTACTCAGTAATACTATGGAATGTTTATATTTTAGATTCAGTACGTTATCCCCGCCTCCGTTAGAGTTACTCAGTAATACTATGGAATGTTTAAAATGTTCAGCTATTAAACATCCTAAACCTGTAAGTTAAACATTACCTTTATTATTTGCAACATTTTGCAGTTTAAAATTGTCGGTATTGGTTTTCATATGTAGCTTTGTACCATACATTCTGAGACCATCACTTAACACCCTTTTGCTGTGAATTTGAATCACCCTCAAGGTTAGAAAATTTTGATGCCACATCCAGTGTTTTATAGAGTTGTCCTGTTCAACACAATCCACCATGTTAATCTATTCTGTTCAACACATTCCACCCAAATCTTAATTTCTAGATTTGGCACTCGATGAAACAAACAGGATTCTTACCCTACATGACAGAGAATTTAGATAACGTTGGTGAAATATTGAGGTATGTTGTAAAAACTTTTCTATAATTCAAAAAATGTGCCAATTAATTATGAAAATAAAAAAAAACTTTTACAACAGTTCTAGTTGACCCAGCTGTAAATGGGTAAGGATAATCCTGGATCAGGATTCTGAGTGATTATCTCTGTCAAAACTTTCAATTTCTTTATTTCTTTCCTGAATATATTTTGAAAGTTTTGATTTTGAAATATATCAATAAATCATTGAATTGACATAATATTTATATTATTATATAGTACAATATTAGCTAGAAGTGAATGTTTTATATTTTCAGTGGGCGTGGTCTACATGCTGGATTATATAGTACAATATTAGCTAGAAGTGAATGTTTTATATTTTCAGTGGGCGTGGTCTACATGCTGGATTATATGGTACAATATTAGCTAGAAGTGAATGTTTTATATTTTCAGTGGGCGTGGTCTACATGCTGGATTATATGGTACAATATTAGCTAGAAGTGAATGTTTTAGATTTTCAGTGGGCGTGGTCTACATGCTGGATTATATGGTACAATATTAGCTAGAAGTGAATGTTTTATATTTTCAGTGGGCGTGGTCTACATGCTGGATTTTATAGTACAATACTAGCTAGAAGTGAATGTTTTTTATTTTCAGTGGGCGTGGTATACATGCTGGATTATATAGTACACTACTAGCTAGAAGTGAATGTTTTATATTTTCAGTGGGCGTGGTCTACATGCTGGATTATGTGGTACAATATTAGCTAGAAGTGAATGTTTTTTATTTTCAGTGGGCGTGGTCTACATGCTGGATTTTATAGTACAATACTAGCTAGAAGTGAATGTTTTTTATTTTCAGTGGGCGTGGTATACATGCTGGATTATATAGTACACTACTAGCTAGAAGTGAATGTTTTATATTTTCAGTGGGCGTGGTCTACATGCTGGATTATATGGTACAATATTAGCTAGAAGTGAATGTTTTATATTTTCAGTGGGCGTGGTCTACATGCTGGATTATATGGTACAATACTAGCTAGAAGTGAATGTTTTATATTTTAAGTGGCCGTGGTCTACATGCTGGATTATATGGTATAATATTAGCTAGAAGTGAATGTTTTATATTTTCAGTGGGCGTGGTCTACATGCTGGATTATATGGTACAATACTAGCTAGAAGTGAATGTTTTATATTTTCAGTGGGCGTGGTCTACATGCTGGATTATATGGTACAATATTAGCTAGAAGTGAATGTTTTATATTTTCAGTGGGCGTGGTCTACATGCTGGATTATATGGTACAATACTAGCTAGAAGTGAATGTTTTATATTTTCAGTGGGCGTGGTCTACATGCTGGATTATATGGTACAATACTAGCTAGAAGTGAATGTTTTATATTTTCAGTGGGCGTAGTCTACATGCTGGATTATATGGTACAATATTAGCTAGAAGTGAATGTTTTATATTTTCAGTGGGCGTGGTCTACATGCTGGATTTTATAGTACAATACCAGCTAGAAGTGAATGTTTTTTATTTTCAGTGGGCGTGGTATACATGCTGGATTATATAGTACACTACTAGCTAGAAGTGAATGTTTTATATTTTCAGTGGGCGTGGTCTACATGCTGGATTATATGGTACAATATTAGCTAGAAGTGAATGTTTTATATTTTCAGTGGGCGTGGTCTACATGCTGGATTATATAGTACAATATTAGCTAAAAGTGAATGTTTTATATTTTAAGTGGGCATGGTCTACATGCTGGATTATATGGTACAATATTAGCTAGAAGTGAATGTTTTATATTTTCAGTGGGCATGGTCTACATGCTGGATTATATGGTACAATATTAGCTAGAAGTGAATGTTTTATATTTTCAGTGGGCGTGGTCTACATGCTGGATTATATGGTACAATATTAGCTAGAAGTGAATGTTTTATATTTTCAGTGGGCGTGGTCTACATGCTGGATTATATGGTACAATATTAGCTAGAAGTGAATGTTTTATATTTTCAGTGGGCGTGGTCTACATGCTGGATTATATGGTACAATATTAGCTAGAAGTGAATGTATAGAAGCTAGATATCCTCTAACACAGGCTGTTCTTGTTTTTATTACTAATCTTATTGAGGTAGGGAACAACTTTCTAGATCTCTTTTAAACATTGTCTAGTAGAACAGAATACTACCTCTTAGAATGAACATGGACAATAAGAGAATATACTCTCATACTTGACCAATAATGGTGTCATAACTATACAACAGAATCCCTCTATAATCCAATAGATCTATAAAAGTACAAATAATAATTAAAAGAGGCTTGATATTTTTGTGATATACCTCTGTCCTATATTCTGGTCATACCCTATTGTAAATCATATTGATATTGTGGAGATGTATTTTAAACGAAAACTACCTTTTAGACTGAACATTAAATTTGAAGATTTTGTGTATATATTCATCAGTTAAACTTACCAGGTGCCAAAACTATACAACAGAATCCTTATATAAACCATTTTATTCTCTTTCAGCCATTAACACAGTCTAATCAAGAAGAAGAACTGGTGCCAACTATATTATATGTTCTGCGAGAAGTTTTTCCTGTCTTTAGAAAATGGCGTTTTTCACAAACTTCAAGTAGTGAGGCTTTAGGTAAACTATTTATTTGAAGTATGGATGTATATATATATATATTTATCAACATATACTCCTCACAATTTACATTCAAGTTATTTATTGCAACTTAATTCTGATTATTTCTTTGTTATTTCTAGGACAAAAATGTTTAGATCTTTTCCATAAAATCTTGAATTTTCTTCATCTACAGAAGAAAGCTGAGAAAAAAGGGTAAGTGATTTAGTTTACATTCATTCATTAATTGAAAGTTTTCTCTGGTCACCTCATTAGATCAGTTGTTGATAACTGAGGCAACTACTAGCTACTTTGATCAACCTGAAGGTCGCAGATTCACAGATTCTGACTCTGACCTCTCTGGTAATAGATTCTGACCTCTCTAGTCACAGATTCTGACCTCTCTGGTAATAGATTCTGACCTCTCTGGTAATAGATTCTGACCTCTCTTGTCACAGATTCTGACCTCTCTTGTCACAGATTCTGACCTCTCTGGTCATAGATTCTGACCTCTCTGGTCATAGATTCTGACCTCTCTGGTCATAGATTCTGATCACTCTGGTCATAGATTCTGACCTCTCTGGTCATAGATTCTGACCTCTGTGGTCATGGATTCTGACCTCTCTTGTCATAGATTCTGACCTCTCTGGTCATAGATTCTGACCTCTGTGGTCATAGATTCTGACCTCTCTGGTCATAGATTCTGACCTCTCTAGCCACAGATTCTGACCTCTCTAGCCACAGATTCTGACCTCTCTAGTCACAGATTCGGACCTCTCTGGTCACAGATTCTGACCTCTCTAGTCATAGATTCTGACCTCTCTAGCCACAGATTCTGACCTCTCTGGTAATAGATTCTGGCCTCTCTAGTCACAGATTCTGACCTCTCTGGTAATAGATTCTGACCTCTCTGGTAATAGATTCTGACCTCTCTTGTCACAGATTCTGACCTCTCTGGTAATAGATTCTGACCTCTCTTGTCACAGATTCTGACCTCTCTTGTCACAGATTCTGACCTCTCTGGTCATAGATTCTGACCTCTCTGGTCATAGATTCTGACCTCTCTGGTCATAGATTCTGATCACTCTGGTCATAGATTCTGACCTCTCTGGTCATAGATTCTGACCTCTGTGGTCATGGATTCTGACCTCTCTGGTCATAGATTCTGACCTCTGTGGTCATAGATTCTGACCTCTCTGGTCATAGATTCTGACCTCTGTGGTCATAGATTCTGACCTCTCTTGTCATAGATTCTGACCTCTCTGGTCATAGATTCTGACCTCTCTGGTCATAGATTCTGACCTCTGTGGTCATAGATTCTGACCTCTGTGGTCATAGATTCTGAAATCTCTGGTCATTGATTCTGGCCTCTCTGGTCATAGATTCTGACCTCTGTGGTCATAGATTCTGATCACTTTGGTCATAGATTCTGACCTCTCTGGTCATTGATTCTGACCACTCTTGTCATAGATTCTGATCTCTCTGGTCATTGATTCTGGCCTCTCTGGTCATAGATTCTGACCTCTGTGGTCATAGATTCTGACCTCTGTGGTCAATGATTCAGACCTCTGTGGTCAATGATTCTGACCTATGTGGTCATAGATTCTGACCTCTGTGGTGAATGATTCTGACCTCTCTGGTCAATGATTCTGACCTCTGTGGTCAATGATTCTGACCTCTGTGGTCATAGATTCTGACCTCTCTGGTCATAGATTCTGACCTCTCTGGTCAATGATTCTGACCTCTCTGGTCATAGATTCTGACCTCTCTGGTCAAGATTCTGACCTCTGTGGTCATAGATTCTGACCTCTCTGGTCAATGATTCTGACCTCTGTGGTCAATGATTCTGACCTCTGTGGTCAATGATTCTGACCTCTGTGGTCAATGATTCTGACCTCTGTGGTCAATGAATGCTAGAAAATAAAAGATAAATAGCTGCTGACAGAAATGAAATGAAATGAAATGAAATGAAATGAATGGAGTTTTACGTCCTACTTTTTCTGCACCATGTGGGCTAATGAAGACGGGCAGGGTGCAATGAGGAAAAATTTTGCCAGGACAGCGGCATTAGCCTACTCTTTTTCGATTTCCAACTGTCGAGGGATCTTTAACGTGCACAGCCTGTAGCACACGGGGCCTCGGTTTATTGTCCCATCCGAACGACTAGACGCTTTTTCCATGTCAGCCCCTCTTACCTGCATCACTAACAGGGGGAAAATGGGTTAAAAAATCTGAAGGTATTATCTCGACCTATGCCGGGATTGAACCCTGGACCTTCAGGTTAGCGAGCAAGCGTCTAACTCACTGAGCCACCGCGGCTCCCTAGCTGCTGACAGAGTCAAGTGCTTAAGTACTGTTGGTTTTGGACCTAGAACAACAATCTGTACAAAATCCTCAAATGGAGAACTGAGCCAATTACAAGCAGCTGCAATCAGCTGAATTATTACAGATTTGTACTGGTTAGATTAATAGAAAGTAGAACATCATTAGCTAAGAAAACCAGCCATTGAAATTCTCTCAGACATGGTAAGAAAAGGTTGATAATACAGTTCTTCTCAGATACTGCCAGTCCCGAGGCTGACCTAGATCTCGGGTACATTCGGGTTACTTTAATATTTAAATATAATTATTTTAACAGTATACAGCTACAAGAAGTATGTGTATATAGTATGTTATTTACCGAGGCTGGACGAGCGTTGTTAGAAATTATAGCTATAGGAGTTGATAATATAGAGATGTCACTGTCACAACAGGGAAGGTATGTACAATAAGTATATTGATAAAACATATTGAATACTGTGTATTGAACTTCTTGTAAAAACCAGACGTGTGTGTGCCGGTTTGTATGGTCAGCAGTTCAATAATAAAATAATCGTAATGATCCTAAGAAGGCAATTCATTGTTCATCCTAGTGTTTGATTGAAGTATTCTGTAGGAAGACAGATTAAAATAGAGTAAACTCAACATGTTTCAGGTTCTGGTTAATTTCTATTTCCAGTGCTACAGAAGGAGATGGTATTGAAGAGATAGAACTGATTCAGATCGCGTTTTCTGTGTTAAACAGGCTTCTACTGTTAAAACCACCAGACTTGCCGATATCTCCTGTTGAACAGGCTCTATCATCACAACCACCTGGACGTCAACATCAACATGTTGTAGCCACAATCGTCCAGTATATTTATCATAGACATAACCCTAAACTACCAACTCTCGCCTTGGTTCTACTTAAACGATTGGCCATGGTAAGTTTCAACTTATTTCTAGTCAATAAGCAGATCAGCTATGTTAATTTTATTTTATCAGGTTTAACCAGTGATTGTTGTTCCGTAAAGCTGTGTATATATATCAGGTTTGAATTTTAAGCCATACCTTACAGAACGCGCCATTTCTCAAAATATCGTAGATTAATGTATGCGCGTTAACATTATAAATTAACGCTTTGATAAGTCCAAATTAATGCTTTTCTTCACTTAACATACAAGTTCAGTCGTAGGAATCTTTGAGAAACAGGGCCCTGGTTCATAAGAACAGGAGTTATAATTACCTCCCAAATGGCCAACAATATAAAGAAGATCTGTATGAACCTGTGTTTCAAACCCAGGGACAGAACTGTTGTGTGATATATTCATTTTGTTATTGCGAAGAATATAGTGGTTTATACAATAATGTCAATAGACAGATAGAGGGAGTAATCCTTGTTTTATCATCTTCATTTTCTTATAACAGTCCTGTTTTCACTCTGATTTTACACTATATTATAGATATATGACAATATAACTAGTAAATCTACACCTACTCTCATTATGTCTGTTAATATTATTTCAGGTATCACCAATGTCTATATTAGCTTGTTTAGGACCAGAAGCTGAACCTGTTAGAGATATGTTTTTAACAAGACTCTCAGCTCTATCCGAGGTTAGTTTTTATTTTAAATTATTTCAACCCTAGGGCTTTGGTCACTGAAAACTTGAATTCAAATTTTTCATAAAAATGATTTATTGGTTTACTGTGTGAAAGATGTTGGTTTTTGGGGGTGCTGAATACTCATGCTGCAGTCAAAAAAAAGACTTATTTGTGCAATAGAATTAAATTGGCTTTCCTTCAACCTTGAGAAATTTCTTGTCCAAAACTGCTTCTTATTTTGGTAATTTTATGAGAAAATAACTATTTAAAAAGTTTTGAATATTTTGTAGGATTTAAGATTAAAAGTGGTAATTTTAGAGTTTTTATCAGTTTGTATCGAATACCAACCGGGATTAATAGAAATATTTTTAAATGTGCAAACTCCTGATTCTACTGACAGTAAAAAGGTAAAATAGATAAATTATATATATACCACGATGTAGATTCTGTGAGAGATTGTGAAAGGGATGCTGAATTGAAAAACTTTAACGGCAAATAAACAATATCATATCTCGTGATATATTAATGCTTAAATTTTGTGATATCCACTTTTACCAATATCGTCCAGCCCTAATGAGAGGGATATGGCATTAATAACATCAGGTGTTTTCAAGGTGTTAGCATGCCTTGTCCTTGTGGATACACCTACAACAATGCTTCTCAAATTTGGTAAAATATTTGTCTACCAGGCAGAGTCATCAAAGTTTATACCTTTTCTGGATGTACATGTCTACCAGGCAGTCATCAGAGTGTATACCTGTTCTGGATGTACTTGTCTACAAGGCAGTCATCAGAGTGTATACCTGTTCTGGATGTACTTGTCTACAAGGCAGTCTTCAGAGTTTATAAGAAATGTGGACCGTCCAACATTACATATTATTTATAAATAGGTGAATTCTGTCGAAACATTTACTCTCTGTATATGAAACCTTTGGAGTCACTGACATCTACATCGATATTGTCAATGTAAAACTTGCCACACTATCTTGTTTCAGGTTTTAGGTGGGTGACATGACTTCACATGCCATCGAATATTGTTGTTCCAATAGTTGCCCAATTGTTTAAATATTGATTCAACCAAATACTTTGTTATGAAAGTTTCCTCTTTGAAACTCGGTATTCTGACAGCATTTAGTAACAATTTGCCCATGAAAGTTACTTGTTAAACCATCGGCATGTTGTAAAGGATATAACTGTGTGTGAAATTGTTGGTTATTAGAGTGAATAAAGTTACTCAATTTATTTACAGGATGTTACTCTAGGTAAATCTAGTTGTCTACAAACAGTTTTAAATCTAATGGACAATAAAAAACAAGTAAGATATATTTTTTATTGCCACTGTGAAGGTATGAATATCAAACATTAAAAAACATATGGCCATCGTTACTTAATTCTAACAAAGTCACTTAATAGCAACTTACAATCAAAATAGCTACACGCTTCAAGCAAAGAAAAAGTAGCGCGCCATTGGCTACTTACAATGATACAGATAAGATTGACAACAAAGACAATATGTGAAGGTGCAAATATCTCTCCCTCCATTCTTAATGTCTGTATTACAGTGTAGCTATCAATGTCTTAGTTAAATACTTTGTTTGTATTACAGGGTAGCTATCAATGTCCTTATTAAATACTTTGTTTGTATTTCAGGGTAGCTATCAATGTCCTTATTAAATACTTTGTTTGTATTACAGGGTAGCTATCAATGTCCTTATTAAATACTTTGTTTGTATTTCAGGGTAGCTATCAATGTCCTTATTACATACTTTGTTTGTATTTCAGGGTAGCTATCAATGTTTCAGGGTAGCTATCAATGTCCTTATTAAATACTTTGTTTGTATTTCAGGGTAGCTATCAATGTCATATTTAAATACTTTGTTTGTATTTCAGGGTAGCTATCAATGTCATATTTAAATACTTTGTTTGTATTTCAGGGTAGCTATCAATGTCATATTTAAATACTTTGTTTGTATTTCAGGGTAGCTATCAATGTCCTTATTAAATACTTTGTTTGTATTTCAGGGTAGCTATCAATGTCCTTATTAAATACTTTGTTTGTATTTCAGGGTAGCTACCAATGTCCTTATTAAATACTTTGTTTGTATTTCAGGGTAGCTATCAATGTCCTTATTAAATACTTTGTTTGTATGTCAGGGTAGCTATCAATGTCATATTTAAATACTTTGTTTGTATTTCAGGGTAGCTATCAATGTCCTTATTAAATACTTTGTTTGTATTTCAGGGTAGCTATCAATGTCCTTATTAAATACTTTGTTTGTATTACAGGGTAGCTATCAATGTCCTTATTAAATACTTGTTTGTATTTCAGGGTAGCTATCAATGTCATATTTAAATACTTTGTTTGTATTTCAGGGTAGCTATCAATGTCATATTTAAATACTTTGTTTGTATTACAGGGTAGCTATCAATGTCCTTATTAAATACTTGTTTGTATTTCAGGGTAGCTATCAATGTCATATTTAAATACTTTGTTTGTATTTCAGGGTAGCTATCAATGTCCTTATTAAATACTTTGTTTGTATTTCAGGGTAGCTATCAATGTCCTTATTAAATACTTTGTTTGTATTTCAGGGTAGCTATCAATGTCCTTATTAAATACTTTGTTTGTATTTCAGGGTAGCTATCAATGTCATATTTAAATACTTTGTTTGTATTAGAGAGTGGCTATCAATGTCCTTATTAAATATTTTGTATTGCAGGGTAGCTATCAATGTCCACCAGATTTACTGTGTGCCTGTACAGATTTCATCCAATCATTATGGAACGGTTTACGAGAGAGAGCCATGGAAGTTTTAAGATCCAAGTGAGTTTCATCAAAATTAATTTTTTTTTTATTATTATAATCCAGTTTTGAAATAGGCAGACTGGTTTGCCCAGATATTTTTCAGCGGATTTGCTTTCGAAACTTAATTCTTTTCAAAGCATCATATGAAAACACTACTACACTGAGGTTTTTTCGGTAGATAACAGAAAAGATAATATTTTGGGAGACAGCTGCACCTGTGATCTTCAAAATTCTACAGTCTGCTATGTGTCACTTACAATGGATTCACTTTAAATTACTGCTTTTGAGACGGTATTTTTTATTAGTATTTTACAACTACATAATATTGTAAAGAGGATCAAATCAAATTTAAATTTCTCACCAAAACATTGTAGATATTTTACATTCTATCATTATTTTTTTTGTAATAGAAACTGTCTGATTTTCTTAATTTTTTGGTTTCAGAGAGTCATTTTGGTTGAGTATTTTTTGTCCACTGGAACAAAGATTTGAAATTTCAGAAGAAACTGGTCAGGTATGATAAGATATTTCTAGGGTTATTTTTTCTGTTTTTCATGTTTTTTATAATGATACATGATTTAAATATCAAATTTGTTCGCTTTTATATTTATCTACAGTGATGTATCAAGAAAATTCTTGTTTTTGAGTTGTGATTCTAACATATTTATTCTGTTTATATTTCAGTATGATATATATAAAATGAAAACTGTAGCCTATTGTTTAAAAATTTTAGCTCAAGAAGTTTATGTTATGTCAAGGTAAGAGAATTATGTTATGTCAAGGTAAGACAAGTTATGTTGTGTCAAGGTAAGACAAGTTATGTTATGTCAAGGTGAGACAAATTATGTTATGTCAAGGTAAGACAAGTTATGTCATGTCAAGGTAAGACAAGTTATGTTTTGTCAAGGTAAGACAAGTCATGTTATGGCAAGGTAAGACAAGTCATGTTATGGCAAGGTAAGACAAGTTATGTCATGTCAAGGTAAGACAAGTTATGTTTTGTCAAGGTAAGACAAGTCATGTTATGGCAAGGTAAGACAAGTCATGTTATGGCAAGGTAAGACAAGTTATGTTATGTCAAGGTAAGACAAGTCATGTTATGTCAAGGTAAGACAAGTCATGTTATGGCAAGGTAAGACAAGTTATGTTATGTCAAGGTAAGACAAGTCATGTTATGGCAAGGTAAGACAAGTTATGTTATGTCAAGGTAAGACAAGTCATGTTATGGCAAGGTAAGACAAGTCATGTTATGTCGAGGTAAGACAAGTTATGTCAAGGTAAGACAAGTTATGTTATGTCAAGGTAAGACAAGTTATGTTATGTCAAGGTAAGACAAGTCATGTTATGTCAAAGTAAAACTAGTTATGTTATGTCAAGGTAAGACAAGTTATGTTATGTCAAGGTAAAACAAGTTATGTTATGTCAAGGTAAAACAAGTTATGTTATGTCAAGGTAAAACAAGTTATGTTATGTCAAGGTAAGGCAAGTTATGTTATGTCAAGACAAGTTATGTTATGTCAAGGTAAAACAAGTTATGTTATGTCAAGGTAAGACAAGTTATGTTATGTCAAGGTAAAACAAGTTATGTTATGTCAAGGTAAGGCAAGTTATGTTATGTCAAGACAAGTTATGTTATGTCAAGGTAAGAGAAGTTATGTTATGTCAATGTAAGACAAGTTATGTTATGTCAAAGTAAAACAAGGTATGTTATGTCAAAGTAAAACAAGTTATGTTATGTCAAGGTAAGACAAGTTATGTTATGTCAAGACAAGTTATGTTATGTCGAGGTAAGACAAGTTATGTTATGTCAAAGTAAAACAAGTTATGTTATGTCAAGGTAAGGCAAGTTATGTTATGTCAAGACAAGTTATGTTATGTCAAGGTAAGGCAAGTTATGTTATGTCAAGACAAGTTATGTTATGTCAAGGTCAGACAAGTTAACTCTAGTTTCTACAGGATACCTACTAGAGTAATATAATTTGTTTCAAGAATGAGACATAACCCTATGCACAACACTCCGTTTTCACTTTACCTTCCTATTTATTGACCAGCAATGGCGTGTCTAGCATCAAATCCTCTATTCTGATTCCACTGAATGAGCTGAAGACGCTACATAGCCTTGAAGAACATTGTTTACTGGCAATATTCAATAAAAATCTACTAATTTAAAGATTTTTGTATTGATTTCACTCTGTTGTATTTCAGTTCCAAGTTAGACAAAAAGTTTAAAAGTTGTTGTCAAAATTTAGCCAAAGAAAATAAATTGTTAAAAATATCACAGGTGAGAAAATATTGTAATTATTTGTTGTTATCTTTCAGGTGTTATATAAATTAAAAACCAGTGTCTCTATTCTTTTCGGTCAGAATTATTCTACAGTAACCAGTTTTTGATACAACTAAAATATGTTTCTAATAAACACCAGCATCATTATTATATATATTTCTAATAAACACCAGCATCATTATTATATATATTTCTAATAAACACCAGCATCATTATTATATATATTTCTAATAAACACCAGCATCATTACTATATATATTTCTAATAAACACCAGTATCATTATTATATATATTTCTAATTAACACCAGTATCATTATTATATATATTTCTAATAAACACCAGCATATTATATATATTTCTAATAAACACCAGTATCATTATTATATATATTTCTAATAAACACCAGCATCATTATTATATATATTTCTAATAAACACCAGTATCATTATTATATATATTTCTAATTAACACCAGTATCATTATTATATATATTTCTAATAAACACCAGTATCATTATTATATATATTTCTAATTAACACCAGTATCATTATTATATATATTTCTAGTAACACCAGTATCATTATTATATATATTTCTAATAAACACCAGTATCATTATTATATATATTTCTAATAAACACCAGTATCATTATTATATATATTTCTAATAAACACCAGTATCATTATTATATATATTTCTAATAAACACCAGTATCATTATTATATATATTTCTAATAAACACCAGCATCATTATTATATATATTTCTAATAAACACCAGCATCATTATTATATATATTTCTAATAAACACCAGTATCATTATTATATATATTTCTAATAAACACCAGCATCATTATTATATATATTTCTAATAAACACCAGTATCATTATTATATATATTTCTAATAAACACCAGCATCATTATTATATATATTTCTAATAAACACCAGTATCATTATTATATATATTTCTAATAAACACCAGTATCATTATTATATATATTTCTAATAAACACCAGCATCATTATTATATATATTTCTAATAAACACCAGCATCATTATTATATATATTTCTAATAAACACCAGTATCATTATTATATATATTTCTAATAAACACCAGCATCATTATTATATATATTTCTAATAAACACCAGTATCATTATTATATATATTTCTAATAAACACCAGCATCATTATTATATATATTTCTAATAAACACCAGCATTATTATTATATATATTTCTAGTTTGTAAGGGAGAGTTTGATAATTGAAGGAAAGAAGAAAACAGTCGTGTTGGATGAATTAAATGAAAATCCTGCCTTGATTCTGCTGTTATCCTGGAAAAACTTTCTGATAACTGTTTCTAAATTTAAGGTCAGTTTATGTGTTTGTTTTTCTCCCCTAATTAGTCATTCCATAAAGTCCTTATTAATACAATATGAGCCCTGAAATACGACAAAGTTTAGACATGAATTATAGCTCCCTATCTGTAATTATGCCCATGAATATAAAAAAAAAACATTTCTATTACAACAGTTCCTAAATGTAAAATATCCCTCGTTTTATTTAAGTCCATTAAGGTTAAATGAAAGTTAAACCTTCAAACTTAATGATAGAAGTTAATTTTAAAAAGTTTAATAGTTGAGTTTTAATTCATATATAAAGACTAATACAAGATCACAGCCTATATATGCCATGAAGCTCAACATTTAAGATAAAATATAAAAACAAACAGAATATATTTTATATTGTAGGTAGATGAATTATCAATCAATGATAAATTAAAAGAAGAATTATTAGCTGATTTGTTATTGGCTATAGAATCACAGGTAAATACAATATATTTTATATAAACATTGATATATCACACTTATTATTAGAGTTACCCCCCTTTCATGCTCACCTGGAAGTAAAGAAATGACTTTGAAAGAAATGAATAGGTTGATATGTTTGTGGATTTTTCATTCAGATTTTCTCAGCACCTTGTCCTATAGATTAGATAATAACCATGTGTTTTTGATACAGGCTGTAAATATAATCCTAGTTGGAAATCCTGAAATCAAATTTCCTTTAATTTATCTCAGACCCAGAAATGTCATGTAATTTAATTTATCTCAGACCCAGAAATGTCATGTAATTTAATTTATCTCAGACCCAGAAATGTCATGTAATTTGATTAAAATGAGATAAAAGTTGTGACTATCATATCATATGAATAATTATCTTGAGTAATGATTTTATTTTAAATTAATTTATTTATTTCAGTTTCAAGATGAATTAACAGTATTAAATATGAAATTAGCGTCTGTTTCTAGTGCTTTATATTTTACTCTTATTAAATATAACATCAGGTATGTAATATTATTGATATCAGTTGTTTTTATTTTTAAACAGTTAGATAGTGAAATATTTTAGAGACAAGAATAATTGCTAATCCTATCTATATTAAACTTGCTCTCGATTTTGCCATTCCTTGGACGAGATTTTTGATTGATGGAATTGTCATGCTTGTACAGATTTTTATAATGGAACAATTTTTGGCTAAAATTATGAAACATTGTCAATTTAAGTATATTACAAGTAAAAATATTGTAGGGATGATTCAACTTATACTACTAGAAACTCTTGTGGACAACTCTAGTTTATATTTTTCTACTAAAGTTGGACAAGTAGAGATCTTCAGACAACTGATCTATATCAGCCTGTATCCCTACTGAAGTTGGACAAATAGAGATCTTCAGACAACTGATCTATTTCAGCCTGTATCCCTACTGAAGTTTGACTAGTAGAGATGTTCAGACAACTGATCTATTTCAGCCTGAATCCCTACTGGAGTTGGACAAGTAGAGATGTTCAGACAACTGATCTATTTCAGCCTGAATCCCTACTGGAGTTGGACAAGTAGAGATGTTCAGACAACTGATCTATTTCAGCCTGTATCCCTACTGAAGTTTGACAAGTAGAGATGTTCAGACAACTGATCTATTTCAGCCTGTATCCCTACTGAAGTTTGACAAGTAGAGATGTTCAGACAACTGATCTATTTCAGCCTGTATCCCTACTGAAGTTGGACAAGTAGAGATGTTCAGACAACTGATCTATTTCAGCCTGTATCCCTACTGAAGTTTGACAAGTAGAGATGTTCAGACAACTGATCTATTTCAGCCTGTATCTCTACTGAAGTTGAACAAGTAGAGATCTTCAGACAACTGATCTATTTCAGCCTAAGTTCCTACTGAAGTTTTTACATGTTTTTATTATTGTAGTTGTATCAGTAAAAGTAAAGTTGGCGCTGTGAGTTTAAAACTTCAGGAGTTAGTATTAATGACTGTTGCTAATAGCCAAATGTTGATACCTTCTGTACAGATCGGGTTATTGTCTTCTCTCACTGCCTTACTACAAGCACCAGATAATAGTAAGTTTAAACTTAACCAAATAAATATTATAAATAGTCTCTGGTAGGAAACTCTGGGATATCAACTCAGACAGACCTCAATATTTACAGAATCTCAATAGATGGTTGAATAGTTGTTGAACAATAAACTGACTTTCTGAGATAATTTATTTATTGGAGATATAAAATATGTTTTATTTGTGACTGCAGCAATACCAGCAGATAACCTATCAGCATTACTGCCAACAGTATGTGCGGTCCTGTTACAGAGCAGCAGACAACTTCCTGCTTTAAAAGAATTACTTGAGAAACAGACGACAACTGGAGAGGAAGCCACGTCTGGTTCTGGAGAGAAAACTGATTCAGAGAATGGCTTGGATGTCAAATTAAAAGTAGGTGATGTTTTTTACTAAAATTTTGCATCAGTGCAAACATGATCAATAAACAGAATTATACATTGCTGTATACTGTGAGCAAGTTTTCTTTAATAGTAATAGCCATCACTGGACTGATTCTAGTGGAGGTCAAATTAAATATTTTCTTGTATTTTATTTACAGTTACAGATAGTTTGTTGTTGTTTATTAACAGTGACAGATAGTTTGTTGTTGTTTATTAACAGTTACAGATAGTTTGTTGTATTTTATTTACAGTGACAGATAGTTTGTTGTATTTTATTTACAGTTACAGATAGTTTGTTGTATTTTATTTACAGTTACAGATAGTTTGTTGTTGTTTATTTACAGTTACAGATAGTTTGTTGTATTTTATTTACAGTTACAGATAGTTTGTTGTTGTTTATTTACAGTTACAGATAGTTTGTTGTATTTTATTTACAGTTACAGATAGTTTGTTGTTGTTTATTTACAGTTACAGATAGTTTGTTGTATTTTATTTACAGTTATAGATAGTTTGTTGTATTTTATTTACAGTTACAGATAGTTTGTTGTTGTTTATTGGAAGAATTAATCCATTCAATCAACGACTCTACGATCTGGTTGACAGTTTTACAGCAGAACTCCATTTTACCAACTTTATTAACTTCTGTGGAAACTTATATCAAGGTGGGCAACTGTGAAATACTTTACTTCTATATTGTTTTTATTAAATACAATTTAACAGTGATTTAAGATGGAAATTAAATTAATATGGTTTTTGTCTAAAATTAATCACCCCCTTTAATAATATTTGTTAAAGTAACATCAATATCCAGTTGAGATTTTCTGGAATATCAGGATAATGTGCAATTAATATTTTATATATATCATAAGAGACAGAAAACATTCTCTGTTTCTTTTCTCATACATCCTATCCTGGATCTTAACAATTATTTCTGATAATTTCTGGTTTTCATTCTAATCCTATCATTATTCTAGGCCCAGAAAGGTCTGTCTTATGTTCATTCAGCATTCCTCCTGTTACTGACCATAGCAGAAACAGAAAAGGTATTTTAAGTTTTTAATTCAACACTATTTGACTATTGGACACTATATTCCAAAAATTTCAGACCACCCTGATATTATTAAAACCCAGTAAAATAAGATTATAAAACTATGTATACAAGACTGTTTATACTCAACAGATTTATCTGGAACATTTATTCTTATACATCAAAGGAACAAAACGATTTCTGTGGGCAGCCAGTTCAAATCTCAACCTGTTTAGTTATAACTAAATGTTATTTATTACAGGGAGCCAGCGTGTTGGCGTTAAATAACCTAGCTGTCCATACTTGTTTAGTTATAACTAAATGTTATTCCCAGGATGGTAGAAATGGTCAACATTTTCAAAAAAAGGTAGGTAGGGGGGAACTGTATGTAACTTACAAGTCATATTGATCTAGTTTGACTTTCACTATCGTCATTTATCTTCTATTATAGTATTCTAGTTTGAAGAATAACAATTTATCTTCTATTATAGTATTCTAGTTTGAAGAATAACAATTTATCTTCTATTACAGTATTCTAGTTTGAAGAATAACAATTTATCTTCTATTACAGTATTCTAGTTTGAAGAATAACAATTTATCTTCTATTATAGTATTCTAGTTTGAAGAATAACAATTTATCTTCTATTACAGTATTCTAGTTTGAAGAATAACAATTTATCTTCTATTATAGTATTCTAGTTTGAAGAATAACAATTTATCTTCTATTATAGTATTCTAGTTTGAAGAATAACAATTTATCTTCTATTATAGTATTCTAGTTTGAAGAATAACAATTTATCTTCTATTATAGTATTCTAGTTTGAAGAATAACAATTTATCTTCTATTATAGTATTCTAGTTTGAAGAATAACAATTTATCTTCTATTATAGTATTCTAGTTTGAAGAATAACAATTTATCTTCTATTATAGTATTCTAGTTTGAAGAATAACAATTTATCTTCTATTATAGTATTCTAAGTTTGAAGAATAACAATTTATCTTCTATCATAGTATTCTAGTTTGAAGAATAATAATTTATCTTCTATTATAGTATTCTAGTTTGAAGAATAATAATTTATCTTCTATTATAGTATTCTAGTTTGAAGAATAACAATTTATCTTATTATAGTATTCTAGTTTGAAGAATAACAATTTATCTTCTATTATAGTATTCTAGTTTGAAGAATAACAATTTATCTTCTATTATAGTATTCTAAGTTTGAAGAATAACAATTTATCTTCTATTACAGTATTCTAGTTTGAAGAATAACAATTTATCTTCTATTACAGTATTCTAAGTTTGAAGAATAACAATTTATCTTCTATTATAGTATTCTAGTTTGAAGAATAAGAATTTATCTTCTATTACAGTATTCTAGTTTGAAGAATAACAATTTATCTTCTATTATAGTATTCTAAGTTTGAAGAATAACAATTTATCTTCTATTATAGTATTCTAGTTTGAAGAATAACAATGGTATCCACTGGTCAGGAGTATATTGTTTATGTATTCAGTTATATTCCACCTTATTATCATCTTTACGCTACTCATTCCTGGAAGATTGCTTTAATTTTCTTGGTGCTCATCAAGAGAGGCTTCAACAGGTTAGTTTATTTCTCAGTGGCCCAAGTTGGGATGATAAAAAAGAGGATAATAAATTGAAGCCATGTGTGCTACAGGCTAGGTTAGGGTTACAGGCTAAATTGAGGCCATGTGTGCTACAGGCTAGGTTAGGGATACAGGCTGTACACGTTAATGATCCCAAGACAATTAGAAATAAAAAAGAGTTGGCTAAGGCTGCTGTTCTGGCAAAATTACCCTCATTGCACACTGCACTTTTCATAAGCCAAATTGGGTGTAGAAAAACAGAACATAAAAAACTCCATTTATTTCATTTTCTAAGCTGAGGAAGTTTGTTAAACCTTGGATCTTGTCATTGAGATAGATTGAGATACAGGTGAAAAAGTGTTATCATTTGTTTTCACATGGAGATACTGTGAACCTGTGTGCTACAGAACACGTTATAGATTCCACAGTACTTTAACAGCTCAGTATGTTGATGACCAACTAATAGTTCGTGGCCTCAATCCTAGAATGCTAGGAGTTAATAATTTATATAATTTGAAAACAATAATATATTTTGTAGTCATTAGAAACAGGATGTATAACTCTTTATGATCAAAGTTTACAAGAAGCTGAAGTGACCTGTAGTTTTATTTATCAACTCTCGTTTTTTATTCGAGAATGGAGGTTTAATCTTCCTGAGGTTTTGATGAAACTTCTGGTGAGTCCCTTTTTTTTTTTTAAGGGGAACCGCTTTGAAGACTGAAAATCTGTGAGGTTTAACAGTTTAACTAGGTTTAGTGTTAAAGACGAGGGCAATATTACTATTCTATTAAGAAAAACTCTAGTAATATAGGAATTTAGATTATTATTGTTTTACTTAGTAAGCCTTCAGTAATTTTACAGTTCAGAAGTGTTGAAGTTGAAGATACATGCTCTCTCACTAACCTAGGGTACTAGATTATTTTGGGGGGATAGCCATGATGTTGGCAGATTTAGAATGAGTCTTCGGTTAGCCTTGTTGATCTGTGTTGATATAATTCTATATGTTATATGTTAATGTTGATATATTTTATGTTATAATTTTAGACGTCTATGGTATATATGACCCAAACCTTTATATCCTTATTAATTCGACCTCGTTATTTATCTCATTTATTAGAGGTGAGTCAAATATTGTTCTCATATCTTTAAAATATTCATTTATTAGAGGTGAGTCAAATATTGTTCTCATACCATTAACATATTCATTTATTAGAGGTGAGTCAAATATTGTTCTCATATATTTAAGATATTCATTTATTAGAGGTGAGTCAAATATTGTTCTCATATCTGTAAGATATTCATTTATTAGAGGTGAGTCAAATATTGTTCTCATATCTGTAAGATATTCATTTATTAGAGGTGAGTCAAATATTGTTCTCATACCATTAACATATTCATTTATTAGAGGTGAGTCAAATATTGTTCTCATATATTTAAGATATTCATTTATTAGAGGTGAGTCAAATATTGTTCTCATATCTTTAAGTTATTCATTTATTAGAGGTGAGTCAAATATTGTTCTCATACCTTTAAGATATTCATTTATTAGAGGTGAGTCAAATATTGTTCTCATATCTTTAAAATATTCATTTATTAGAGGTGAGTCAAATATTGTTCTCATACCTTTAAGATATTCATTTATTAGAGGTGAGTCAAATATTGTTCTCATATCTTTAAAATATTCATTTATTAGAGGTGAGTCAAATATTGTTCTCATACCATTAACATATTCATTTATTAGAGGTGAGTCAAATATTGTTCTCATATCTTTAAGATATTCATTTATTAGAGGTGAGTCAAATATTGTTCTCATACCTTTAAGATATTCATTTATTAGAGGTGAGTCAAATATTGTTCTCATATCTTTAAAATATTCATTTATTAGAGGTGAGTCAAATATTGTTCTCATACCTTTAAGATATTCATTTATTAGAGGTGAGTAAAATATTGTTCTCATATCTTTAAGATATTCATTTATTAGAGGTGAGTCAAATATTGTTCTCATACCATTAACATATTCATTTATTAGAGGTGAGTCAAATATTGTTCTCATATCTTTAAGATATTCATTTATTAGAGGTGAGTCAAATATTGTTCTCATATCTTTAAGATATTCATTTATTAGAGGTGAGTCAAATATTGTTCTCATACCTTTAAGATATTCATTTATTAGAGGTGAGTCAAATATTGTTCTCATATCTTTAAGATATTCATTTATTAGAGGTGAGTCAAATATTGTTCTCATACCATTAACATATTCATTTATTAGAGGTGAGTCAAATATTGTTCTCATACCTTTAAGATATTCATTTATTAGAGGTGAGTCAAATATTGTTCTCATACCTTTAAGATATTCATTTATTAGAGGTGAGTCAAATATTGT